GCTGCGTCCTGACCCCCTCCCCGTGGCCCTGCCCGACTGCAGCCCTGACCTACATTGCTGCCTGCAGGACACAGCCCTGGCACTCTGGCTGCCTGCCATGGCGGTGGCAGCGGCAGAGGCTGTGCTCTCCAGCAGGTGCTGCGTCGTGGCCCTGATCCTCCGCGGCATTGGGCCCTGCGCCCCCACCGATGTCCAGGAGCAGGTAGGATCCCTGGCACTGGCAGCCAGCCCCACTCACCCAAGCCCTGTTGCAGGGGATCAGGGCCGGATGCGCAAGCCTGTTCGTGCCGGGGGAGTAGAGAGCCACCCCCAGCAGTGCCCCACAGGGGAGTGTGGGCTCAGGGCGGCTGCTCCCCTTGCAGCTGGAAGATGACGCTGTGGAGAAGACCTCCGTGCCTGAGGACCTGCCCCGGCGTGAGACGCACCGGCTGCTGCCCACCCAGGCCGAGGCTGAGGCCCGTGTGTAGATGGAATGGCCGTGGCACAGCTCCGAGTCCCCAGCAGGGCTGCACTTCTTGGCAAGCCCAGCCCTGGGGCCCCTGCCCATGTAGTGGCAGCCCCTGGCCCTGGCTGGACCCACAGCCCCAGCCTGCTCCAGATTGCACAGGCGCCAGGCTGGATTGATGCTTCCTCTGCTCTCAGGTGCAGCTGCAGGAGGGCCCTGGGCCCCTACAGGAGGCGGGGATGCAGGCAGCAGGAGGGCGAGGCTGCCTGTGTCCCAGGCTGGGCCTGCATGCCTCCCCCTGGTGGGACTAGGGGCCGTGCCCCCGCGCTGGGGCCTCTGAGAGCTGCCCCAGCCTGGCCCAAGGGCTGCATCTCGGGGGGGAGGAGCCGCACGAGGCTCAGCCAGGGGCTGCTTCGCTGTAAGAATAAAGCTGTGCTGCTGCACCACCTGCACCTGTGCCCCTTGGCGCTGTGTCACTGGGACAAGGCAGGGCGCTCGGGCCTGGCAGGACTGATCCCCAGTGGAAGCAGGGCAGGGCAGGGGGGAGAAGTGGGGCCCGGGTGCTGCAGCCGCAGTGATGGATGCAGGAGTCAGGTGGCAGCAGCTCGGCAGAGACATGTTTACTAGGCCTGGGCGGCGCCGGCTCACTGGAAGGAGAAGCTGGTGCTGGGCAGCCCCCCGCACCACTGGCTGACGAACTTGAGCACATCCTGGCAGCTGGGGCTGTGCGACATCTGCAAGACACCAGGGTCCAGCTGGCCACGAGCCTGGCAGGAGCAGCAGCCACCCCAACACCCCGCCGGGGGCCAGCACCTGCCCCAGCCCTGGAGGACATGGGAGCACCATGCCTTAGCCCTGCACCCTGCTTCTGGGCCCCACTGCCCCATGCACATGGTTATGGGCGCACACTGCACAGGCCCCTCCTCCCTGCGGGCACCATCACCACAGGCCTTGCCTCCAAGCAGACGGGCCCAGCCCGCAGCCCCTCACCTTGACAGCCATCAGGAATTTGTTCCACGTGTCCTTGTTGGCCTCCTTCCCCGGGCGCTTGAACTCAACCTTGTTCCTCAGCACGGGGTAGCCTGCACACCCCCCCCCCAGAGCCTGTGAGCTGGGGCATCAGCCCTGGTCTTGCATGTGGGACTGAGAAGGCTGGGGCCTGGCTGAGCCGTGGGGTGCTCCCCTGTGGAGCCCCTGCCTGGTGCTCTCTGCCCCTTCCCCCCAGAGCCAGCCCCAGGGGCCACAGCATCAGAGGCAAGAGCTGCCAGCCCCCCCAGCCAGTACCCTGCTGCTGCCAGCCCCAATGGGACATCATGTGACCCCTGGGCCTTGCTTGGAAAGCACTGGGCTGCATGGGCCCAGCCCCCTCGGGGGGCAGCAGCGCCAGGCAGGATGCCCCTCTCCTCCCCTCTTGCCTGGCTGGTGGCAGCAGCTGGCTCGACTCACCAGTGAGCACACAGGGCAGGGAGCGCACGCCTGTGCTAGCCGCCACCAGTGAGGCCTCATAGGTGCCACGCTCATCTTGCGGCAACACCTGCTCCAGCCGCTGGTCCATGGACATGGTGAGGACCCAGTCCCGCACTTCTTCCCGCTGCTCCTCCTGTATGGGGCCAAGTGCAGCCTCAGCTGGGCCCTGGCATTGGCACTGCCCAGCCTTGGCCCGGTGACAGGGGGCCATGTGAGATGCTCTCCTCACCCCTCATGCCCTCTGCCAGCCCTGCCCTGCAGGGTCGTGCCCAGCTTCTGAGGCATCCTGGGATGCTCCAGGCGCAGCGATGCCTGTGCTCTGCTGGGGGGGGGGGGGGGGGG